CCAAAAGTGGTTTGGTTCCTTAGAAAAGTATGTATGTATTTATTTTCTTCCTTTATTTCTTTTGACTTAGATCCCACTCATCAAAAATAGACTTTTGGGCAGCTTATAGGATAAAAACAGCAGATATATAATCAGAAATAGAACATAAAACAATTATACAAGATGGTGAATCCGGTCAGCAATAACAAACATATCATATACCAGCAAAGGGCTCCAACCACCCTAGCCCAGAGCCTAGGAGAAGAGGCAGGTCTTTAAGATCCTCTGGAATACAATCAGAGTAGGAGCCACCCAGATTTGGGGGGAACCTCATTTCAGAGGGTAGGTGCCATGACAGAGAAAGCATACTTCTGGGATTGCAACTGAGATCAGATGGTTTATTAAACTTACATCAGCAAAGAGAAACCCAGATTAATATTAAGCTTAAAAAAAGAATTAGGCTTCAAAAGAGAAGGTACAGAAAGTTGCTTAATGAGTGCTCTGTTTAGCAACCATTCAAAGTTACAATGGCACTGAAAAAAGTAAATTTACTACCAGTCCTCGCATGTACGACTGTTGCAGTATCCCCATGGTCACATGATAGAGATTAGTGCATTTTGCAATGGTGGGTGTGTACGACTGTCGCGGCATCCCTTGGGTCATGTGATCACCATTTGAGTGCTTCGTATCTGGCTTCCAACGAACAGAGTCAATGGAGAAGCCAGCAGTAAAATCACAAGTCACAGCCACATGATGTCTCACTTAATGATCTATGGTAACTTCCTTAGTGATGGAGTTGCCGGTTCCAATTGTGGTTGCTAAGCAAGGACTACCTATATAAATAAAGGAGCATGGGTAGCCATGTCCAAAATGGAGATTAGTCCTCAGAGAAAAGTAGTATTAAAGGAAAGTAGCCATTTGCTGTGAGAACCTGCAAAATAAAATCAGCTCCTTGAAGCTGATCTCTTTACTCGCTGAACCAAACAGTCTGGGTTAGATTATATTCCATCCTGGAAGATTTCATGTCATAACTTGGGGTGGACCTGGATCCTTTCCCTTATCTATAGCTACTTCTATGGAAGTTTGAAGGACAAGAGTTTCCAGCATTTTTTTCCCCCTTACTAGAAGGGATTGGGTGTTGGTCAGATGTGAGTATGTCGTAGATCTAACAAGAATCACTAGAGTAGGCTGGCACAACAAAGACCATACTGATATCTTAAAAATAATTGCAGGCCACAAAGGAATAGCTGGCATGTTGAGCATCTGGCAGCTACCAATACGGTAGCAGTGGTGGTTGGCAATGTCAGTGAGGCGTGCAGATGCTGGCATTGTGTCTTTCAGGGTAGAGGTGGCTGTGAAAATCTAGGTGGCAACACTAGAACCTTCCTGGGGGTGGAAATGTTTGGCAGCAGTGGTTTTGTTGAGTTTTCAAAAAAAAAAATGCTGGCAGTTTGCACAAGGCTGCTTGGTGGACCACATGTTGTACTTGCCTGCTCTTGCATTGTTAGAGGTGCCTATTATAGTGCTGAATTATTATTTCAGCAGCTGAGGCCATTCCTGTATTTGCTTTTCAAAGAAGCATTTGTTTATTTCCATTAACTTTTTGCTTGTTACCTAGATATACATATTTGGTCACATTCAGATCTCATTCAGATGAGGCGTGTTATGTCAGTTGGAAATTTATAGGGAGTGAAGAGTTATTAAATTTGTTTATACTTGTTGTGATGAAAGTTGGAAGTAACTTCTTTATATATTTCTTTTCTTTTTCTTTATTATATTCTCTCTATTCTTTTTCTTTCTTTTTCTCCTTTCTTGTACTTTTTATTCTTTCCATTCTCTTCTCTTTCTCTAAGTTTAGCTTGTATTAGTTTTTACTATTGTAATTAAAATTCTTTAAAAAAAAAAAAAAGTATGCCATAACTGAGTGATGTGAACATACAGATGCAAAAAAATTCTTAGCTAAGCCCCTGACAATTCCAGTAAATATAACCCAAGTAGTAGGATTAATTATGATTTCTTTCCTATTTGCTTCTTAAAAAATACTGCCTTAATCAGTATAAGGCAGCTTCATATGTTCATATTTTGTCTTACTGTATGTTCAATCACTAACTGCCTCTAAAATCCATTTATGTTCACACTGCAGCTATTGTACAGTTTTATTGAGTGTACTTTAAAATAGATAAAATCAGTTAACCTTAGAAACAAATGTTCACTGTATAAAACATTACATACTTAGGCATGCCTTAAACTAAAGATTAGATAGTACCATGAATAAACCTGTAAATGTAGTCCCATTAGCAAGTATTAAAAACAAACTGGAAAAATCAGTTGTGATGCACAAGGACAATAACTGGTTATCTGTCAGTATCTAGAATAGTTTTGTATCTATCAATAAGAAAGTAATAATATTGAAATTTTATGAACATTTTATAACTTGTTATGATAAACAACACATTTTCTGTCATATGGGTTTATGAACATGCTCAATTAAGAGATGTGTGAGAAAAACTGTTTTAACAGGGTTGATAATATTTAGAGTTAAGGAGGATTTTTAACTTTATAACCTTTGTTATAAAGACTTTGTTGTTCATTCAACAAAAAAGGTATGTGAAATTGTATCTCCAGAAAAGCCTTCTGAGCTGCTGAATATACAGGTAGTCCTCGCTTAATGACCACAATAGGGACCAGAAAATTGGTTGTTAAGTGGGGCTGTCATTAAGCGAGTCACCACATGACCAGACCCAATTTTATGACAATTTTTACGATAGTTGTTAAGCGAATCACTGCGGTCATTCAGTGAATCATGTGGTCGTTAACCGAATCCAGCTTCCCTAATGGGCTTTTTTGACGTAATTTGCTTAGCAATTACGATTCACTTAACCATGTGATTCGCTTAACTACCATCATAAAAAAGGTCATAATCGTAATCATGTGAGTGCAGGGGGGGTGTGACGTTTGTGATTGTTGTAAGTGAGAGTACAGGTTGTAAAACACTTCCTGAGGCCATCATAACGTCAAACCATAGTTAAACAGTCTTTAAGCGAGGACTACCTTTTTGTAAGACTGTATGTTGTTCTTCAGCTCATTAGTGTACTCTAGAATCCAGATGACATGCATTCTAGTCTTCATTGTTATTCAGATGCTATTTGGGAAAATGATGGCAAAAATAGTAATAGAATGGTAAATATTCAGGGCTGTGAATTACTTTGAAAACACTGTGTTTGACATCCTGCTCCATTTTTTTTTTTATTTAGGTTGAGAATGTGGTGTTCATTTTTTTTTTTTTAGTTTAGTTTTGTTTAAGCTGTTATATACTTCTTACAAATGACAACTATGGTTTTAAAAAGTGGTACCATGTCTCATAATTACATTATAGAAAGGGGAGCAGAAGCTGGGAAGAAGCATTTCAGTACTGCAAGTACAACTTGCAGGCATTTTTCCTGTTGGAAAATAAGAGACTTATTTTCCAGGAAAACTTCTTTTCTAGGCAATATTTATATTCATGAAATTGGCTGTACCTGTTGTAAAATATTGTCATGTTTGTAACATTGTGATGCTGTTAGTATCTGAAGTCAAGGAAGGCTGGGCCTGGAGCAGCACTACCATTGGATTGACATAACTTCTGAAGCCATAATGCACATGTTTTGATTTGGCTTCACAGAATGTATGGACCTATCCCATTATGATGTATAAATCATAGTTTATGGCATACAGAGCACATTTGGAATTTAAGAACATATTTTGGGGACTTTCACAAGATGTTTTCTATGATAGGTGTAGTTGGTTGCAAAACATTTTCCAGAAGTCAGGCTGCTAAGGTTGCTCTGTACTACCCTACCCAAAACCCCATATATGTTTGTGTGTATGCTATGGGTGTTTGTGTGTATGTGTGTGTGTGTTTCTATGGCTAGATGTCTATATTCTGTAGTAGCTATTCTGCAAGCATATGACTTCTTCTAGTTTGTAATAAAGCTTCTATGTAAAAGCAAGCTTTAAAAGCTTGCTGATTCCTTGAAATTTGTGCCTTTACTAGTTGCTGTGTTCAGGGGTGGGGTGGGCTCAGGCATCTGAAGAGCAGTGAATCAAGTGAGTACATGAAGTCTGACAGTCGCCTACCAATTTCTAAGAATGCTTTGAGAGGCTGGAATTTGCTCAGCAGCATAATAGCACCGTATGTATGTATGTATGTATGTTAATAAGTCTAAAAAAGAAAATTTCAAAACCATCACTGGAAATGGAACAGAATAGAAAAGCAAAGCAATGATTACTATTATCCATTGTTTCAATACCATCTGAACATTTAGTCTGTTTGAGGTATATTTAACTATCATAAGAATATTGCTTCCTTATATGGCCTTTTTTTTCTTGCAAACAAAAGTCCACATTGGATCAGTTTCTTTTATCATGATTTGTCAATTAATCTTAATTGCTGTAAAATTTCCACGTGAGAATATTCATAAACGGTTTTGGGGTTTTTTGTTTTTAATTCCACAGAGACGGAAGGTTTCAAGATTGACACTATGGGTACCTACCATGGAATGACTTTGAAGTCCGTAACGGTAAGTAAACATAATATTGGCTAAGATTATTTGTTGCAATGCTGTGTGAAGAAATGTTCAAAATATTTCTTACAGATGTTCAGTATTGCTTTCTACAGTGAGAAAAGTCTGTGTTGCATGGCAACAAACATAAATTATCCTGACACAGGTTTGTATATAGCTAAGGATATATGCTTCTTCTCCTTTGACATTCCTGAATCCTGCAGTTCTTTGGGGTACCATTTTTTTCCTGGAATGGTAAAATTTTTAACATATTTATAATATACTCTGGCATATAACAACAGTTCAAGTTAAATAACAGCAAATGCACATAAAATGAACGTCCTTTCGAAAGGAGAATTCATGTTCATATTGGTAATTTCCCAAACAGCTGAAATCAGAATATCCCTAAAATGATGTTTCAGCTGTGCTTGTCTTAAATTCTCTGCTTTTATGGAAGCGGGTTTAGCGTTCACAAACAAATGTTATTTTGATCTCCATGCAAGTAAGACAGATGCTACAGAACTAGTATAGAAACCTCATTAAAGAGTTTTGCCATCTGTATGCCTATATAAATCTGATGAATAGACACCACTATACAGTCTAAAAGTCTGGGCATCTACTTTTGGTTTACTCTCACTAATTTGAACATAAAATAATGCCTGGAATATGACTGTCTCAGAGCCAATTACTGTTAACTTGCTTAAATTCCCCGTCTCATAAAATAGTTCCATACGTTTTTATGTCATTCCTAGTCTTTCTGTAATTCAAGTTGTAGACTTTTAAAAAAGCAGCTAAAACTAAAAAACAAAGTTTTGACCTAAATTGTGTGCCATGTGGAATACCAGTCAGAGTATTCTTAGATATCACAAATAAAATGTTTTCTTGAGAACATTAATTATTCTCAACATACTAATGGTGACAATTGGCTAGATACATTAATAACATGAGTGAGGAAGAGTGTTGCTTAGATTCTGTTAATGCAAAACAAAAAGATGCAGGATTATATGTGACAATTCAGTTTTCTCAAACTTGACCCCTCCAGATATTACATCTCCAGATTACAACTGTTACGCAGGCTGAAGGAAATATGGAGTGTAATTTATGTAGCATTAAGTTGGCAGTGGTTACTATACGTCGTGCTCATAATCCTCTTTAAGATTTAGGAACTCCCTCTGGGAAGTAGCTAATGAATGTCATTTCACAATTGCAAATCACTCATCTGACTGAGTTTATGGTTTACTTTTCTGTGCTAATTATATGTAATAAGTACAGCAAATGAGTATGTTCATAATTCCAATTTTGCAAATACGTCTTGAAGTTGTTATTCTGTAGAATGTAAGGATTGGCAAGGCCCTCAGAAATCATCTAGTCCAATCTCCTGTCCAGGCCAGAAATTCACTACTACATTATCACTGATAGATCACATCCAGTATGTGCCTAAATAACTCCAACATTGAACAGTTCATCTCCTGAGGAAGTCTGTTCCATAGTTGAATAATTCTTACAGTTAGAATTTTTTTTCCTGATATCCAACCAAAATCTGCATCTTTGTAATTTAAGCCCATTGTTCTTTGTCATGGCTTCTAGAACAACTTTGAAGAAGTTTGTCTCATCTTCTACATGACAGCCCTTCAGGTACTTGGAAAGAACTATCATATCTCCCCACAATCTTCTGTTCTCCAGACTAAACATAAATAGCACCTGCAATGTTCTCTCATATTTTCCTTCCAGGCCCCTTACTCTATTATTTTTATGGACACACATTTTTCAATGTCTTTTGAAAAATATGGCACCCAGAAATGGACACAGTATTCTAGTTGTGGTGTGATGAATAGAAATAGTGAAATCTCTTCATCTTGACATTATATTTCTGTTGATGCAGTGTAGGATTGCATTTGCTTTTTTCACAGCTTCAGCACACTGCTGGCTTATGTTCAATTTGTGATTCACCAGAAAATCCAGATCCTTTTCATATGTTCCCTACCTGATTTTTCCTTCCCAAATATAGGACTTTGCATTTGTCCTTGTTGAAATTCATCTTACTAGTTGTTGCTCAGTGTCCCACTTTTCAAAATCCTTGTAGACCTTCATACTGTCCTCCCATAGTGTTTGCTATCTCCATATCTTTACATCATCCACATATTTGATCATCATACTTTCTGATACCTCATCAAAATTATTTATAAATATTTTGAACATGGTTTGCTATTTGTTTATCACCTCCTTCCAGTTTGACACAGAACCATTCATGTATACTCATTGAGTATAATTGTTCAACCTGCTCTGTATATATCTAATGGTAATATAGTCCAGCCCATATTTTTCCATCTTGTCTGTTAGGATCTACAGGAGACCTTGTCAGGTTCTTTGCTAAAGTCCAGGCATTCCTGTAGTAAACTAAATTGGTTCTGTCAAGAAGGAGATTAAGCTAGTTTGGCATGACTTGTTCTTGATAAATCTGAGCTGGGTTCTGCCAAGCACTCTATTCTTTTTAAAATGTTTGCATACCAAGTCTTTAGTAATATATTTTAACATTTTGCCCAATACTGACATCAACTTGGCCAGTCTGTAGTTACTGTTTTTCTCCTTTTTTGAGGATAAAAACAACATGTGCCCTTCTCCAATTTTCTGGCAGTAAGTTTGTCTTCCATGATATCTCAAAGATCAGAGGAAGGGGCTCCAGAATGATGTCCACAAGCTCCTTAAGGACTTTCGGATGTAACTGATTTAGTCCTGGGGACTTTAAGACATTAAGCTAGGGACTCTGTAACTATCTCTTTCTTTATCTTGGGTTACCACTGCCTCCTTTTCTCATTTTTGCTTTGGTCCAGTGGAATATAGTTCTCCTTTCTGGATAAAAGGCTGAAGCATAGTAGGAACTGGGGCACTCTGACCTCTCCACATAATCCCTGGCCATCTTGGCATCTACTTCAAGCATCAAGCCCACCTTTTTTCTTCCTCTTGCTGACATAGCCAAAAAAGACTTCTTTGTTGATTCTAGCCTCCTTTGCAAGCCTGGGTTTCTTTAGTGCTTTACTGTTTCTAACTTTCTTTCTGTGAATATTAGATACTTGGTGGCATGCCTTCTTGGTGATTTCACCCATTTTCCATTTCTTACACATGTTCCTTATAAGTAACTCTTAGCTCAGCCAAAAGCTTCCTGTTCATCCATGCCCCCACCATTTCTTCCCCTCATTGAAGTGGTGTATGATTATATTTCCAGTCTTGTTTTTAAGAAGTTCCCATCCTGGGGAACTTCCCAGGATCATCAACTTCCATCAACTTGCTTTGATAAGAGGATATTTGTCAGTGGATTCCCACCTAATACTTCTTTAAACTTGTTGAAATTGGCTTTCCTGAAATCTAGTGTGTGTATTTATGACTTGGTTCCCATTTCTCTTTCTATAGCATCTTGAATCACAAGTTGACATGCTTTCCCAGGGTTTCCACTGTTTTTACAGTATTACGCTGTTCTTAAACCAGTTCTTCTATCTTGGTTAGCATCAGATCTACACTGTGTGCACAATTATTCGGCAAGTGAGTATTTGACCATATCATCATTTTTATGCATATTTTCCACCTCCAAGCTGTAGAAACCTGAA